TTGATGAAAAGAGTTTAAAAATTTTCTGCAATAATTTCGGCAAATATAAAAATTAATTTCGGCACTAGATAAAATTAATTTCGACTGCCTAAATGCCGTAATTACTTTTTTATTAAGATGGGCAATTTAGGCACACATGTATATACGTGCCAAATTTTATTGCAGATTGGGTAGCTTAACCCGAGAAAAATAGAATTCTTATATATATTCCCTCAAATTCCCTCAATTGTTAGATATCTAAGTCCTTATACATTAATATTAGATATTCTATTTCGCAATCGAATTATTCAAAATAGTGAAGCATATCTCTGTGAAACTTTATTAATCCTTCTGAGTCTTACTATGGCGCTGTGGTACGGCTTGCCCGACGCTAATTACGACACAAGTCGTAATAGTTTTGATTTAAGGTAAGATAATTTAGACTCGTTCGAAACTAGTTACGATAATTTCGATTTGCTTAAAACTAAATACGGCACAAATCGTAATGGTTTCGCTTAAGCCAAAATAATAACGCCTCGTTCAAACCTCATTTCAGCTACTGGGATTTGATGCCGGTGGTGCCGGTGGTGCCGTTGATGCTGTTGATGCCGTTGAAGCCGTGCAGAAGTTTGGAAGAACAGCGTTTGATGGAACAGCATTTGGAAGAACAGCGTTTGAAAGAACAGCGTTTAGAAAAACATCGTTTGAAAAAACTGCGTTTGAAAAAGCGTTTGAAAGAACAGCGTTTGGAGGAATTGATTGAACTGCTTGAAATGTATTACCAGATGAAACAGCAACGAGAGAATTTGCTGCAGCCGTGGGAAGCGTGTTTCTCCTGGAATTCCCTGCTTGAAATGTATTACCAGACGAAACAGCAGTGTGAGAATTCGCCGCAGTCGTGGGAAGCGTGTTTCTTCAGGGATTCCCTGCAGCAGTGGGAAGCGTGTTTCTCCAGGAATTCCCTGCAGGATTCGTTACAACCGTGTGAAGAACGTATCGTTAAAGATTGGCGTATCCACAAAGGATGGTATATCCCTAGGATATATATTTATTTTTATAACGTAGCTCTTTTAAAGATGATTCTTTTAACATTGAGCACCTCGTTTAAAGATTATCTTTAAAATTGCTTACTTGCTTATAAACCTTGAACATTGTGAGTATAATTTACTTGGAAAATAGCGCGTCAATTTTTTTATTTATTCAATTTTGTTACTAATTTACAATGCTTTTCTATTACAAAGACATTTAAGTGGTATTATATTTGATGGCTTGGTAACATATAGTTGGATATAACCTAAATGTCCAACACAGACCCATAACGAATAACTTATAATAGCCACACGATTTTTCACACAGATTTTATTATATCGATATGATTTTAATTTTATTTTACTCATATTTCTAAATCAATTTTAATTATTATGCATGCATAATTTTTTATATTTTATATGAACAATAAAGCTATTTTAACATCCTAATTGCTAATATTAAATGGCTTTCTTTTTTAACATCAATAACGCGTACCCATTGCTATATATGCAATAGTTAGAATTTATTATATGCGTGCCCCAAGTGAAATCCAAGAAATCTAAAAATAGCTTTCTTTGGACAACGGACTACGGACTTTAAATGGACTACGGACTTTAAATGTGATCAAAAAACAGTATAATTTATTATTCTAGTCAGATCGATTAAAAGCCCGCATTCCGTTGTCACTTGACGGCACCCATATATAAAATAAAAAGGATAAAGATTGTGAATATCCAAAGTGTTATTGTTCTACGTCATCTTTCAATTTACTTCGATTATTAATTGTCATTTGTAAAGTTGAAAATAATGTACGTCACTTTGCAATCGGTAAACCATTTATTCTTTATAATAAATTTTTTAGCGAATATATTCATAAAAATTATTTACTTTTTTTAAATAATACAGCAGCATACTAAATGCTAATCACTAAATTTAATTTTAAAAATTCAGGCAAAAATCATATAATAATAAAAAAGCATATGTTGATAAATTTACCATTTTTGATTTCTAAATAAAAATTTCTCATTTAAGTCTTCTAATTTTTT